ATATCAACTAGTTTGAACTATCAACTAGTTTGTTAATTATACAACAGGTGAATTATTTAATAGTGGACTGTGGTATATAAAAAATCTTTCATTTAACAGTATATCACTCATTCAAATATTCCTCAACTTGCTTTTTTACAGCTTGCATTATTCACACACCAAAACCAGACAAAGATATTACAACAAAACTGAAAACCAGTGTATCTCAAAAACAGATGCAAAATTCCTTAACCAAAATTAGCAATCTAGAGAGGATACTACATAATGATCAAGTATAGTAAAACCTAGTTTTAACCTAGACTAATTTAACATTCAAAAGCCAATCAACAGAATCCACGTTACTAGAATAAAAGGAAAAACATCATACGATCATTTTCATAGAGGCAGACGAAGCACTTGACAAGATTCAACAGCCATCCATAATAAAAACTCTCAATAAACTATAAGGAAATGCCCACCATCTAATAAAGGGGATCTTCAAAAAACCTACAGCTGACATCATACTTAAGACTAAATTCTTAACCCTTCAAGTTGATAACAAATCAAGTATGTCCATTCTCCACATTTATTTTCAGTAATGTACTGGAAGTCCTAGCCAGTGTAACAGGAAATAAAAGGCATAACAATCAAAAAGGATAAAGGAAAAGCACCTCTATTCACAGAGGACATTACTATGTATAAGGAGAATCCTAAGCAATCTAAAAAATAATAATAATAACCCACTAGAACTATAATGACTTCAATAAAATTAACAGGGATACAAGTTCAGAAAACTAAAGTCAAATATATTTCTATATGCTAGTAATAAACACCAGAAATGGAAATTAAAAAACAAGTCCATTTATTTATTTTTTTTTTTCAACGTTTATTTATTTTTGGGACAGAGAGAGACAGAGCATGAACGGGGGAGGGGCAGAGAGAGAGGGAGACACAGAATCGGAAACAGGCTCCAGGCTCCGAGCCATCAGCCCAGAGCCCGACGCGGGGCTCGAACTCACGGACCGCGAGATCGTGACCTGGCTGAAGTCGGACGCTTAACCGACTGCGCCACCCAGGCGCCCCAAAACAAGTCCATTTATAATAGCATCAAAAAACATGAAATATTTAGGAATAAACATAATAGAATATGTGCAATTAATTATATATGAAGAACTATAAACACTGACAAAGAAAACCTAAATAAGTGGAAACATGTAACATGCTCATGGAACACTGGATACTGTTAAGATAACAATTCTTCTCAATTCATCTACAAATTCAGTAAAATCCCAATCAAAATCCAGCAACCTTTTATTTTACGTAAAAAAGTGAATTCTAGAAAGGCAAAGGACCCAGAAACACAAAAACAATTTTTAAAAAGAACAAAGTTTGAGAATTTAACCTGATTTCAAAGCTTACTATTAAGTTAAAGTCTTTAATACAGTGTCCTACTGGCATTAAGGATAAGTATACAGATTAATGGAACAGGTAGGAATCCAGAAAGAGCCTCAACATCTACTGAATCTGTCATTTGATTTTAAACAAAGTGCCAAGCATGAAAAGATGCTCAACGTCGCTCCTTATCAGGGAAATACAAATCAAAACCACACTCAGATATCACCTCACGCCAGTCAGACTGGCCAAAATGAACAAATCAGGAGACTATAGATGCTGGAGAGGATGTGGAGAAAGCAGAACCCTCTTCACTGTTGGTGGGAGAATACTGCAAACTGGTCGCGGCCACTCTGGAAAACAGTGTGGAGGTTCCTCAGAAAATTAAATAGACCTATGACCCAGAAGTAGCACTGCTAGAATTTTACCCAAGGATAGAAGTACTGATGCATGGGGCACTTGTGCCCCAATGTTTATAGCAGCACTCTCCAGCAATAGCCAAATTATGGAAGAGCCTAAATGTCATCAGTGAATAGATAAAAGAAATTGTGGTTTAACACAATGGAGTACTACATGGCAATGAGAAAGAATAAATACTTAATGGCCTTTGTAGCAGCGTGGATGGAACTGGAGAGTGTGATGCTAAGTGAGGAAATAAACCATACAGAGAAAGACAGATATTCACATATGGTTTCACTCTTATGTGGATCCTAAACCAACAGAAACCATGGGGGAGGGGGAGGAAAAAAAAAAAAAAAAAAAGGTTAAGTGGAAGAGCCAAAAGCAACAAGAGACTCTGCAAAAACTGAGAACTGAGGGTTGATGGGGGGGGGTGGGAGGAGGAGGGTGGAGTGATGGGTAGTGAGGAGAGGAGGCACCTTTTAGGATGAAGCGCACTGGGTGTTATGTAAAACCAATTTGACAATAAACTTCATATATTGAAAAAATAAATAAATAAACAAAGTGCCAAGGTAATTCAATAGGAAAAGGATCATTTCAACAAATGATGCTGAACAGCTAGAAAGCCCTATAGGCAAAAACTGAAGTGCACCCTTACTTCAGACAATAAAAAATTAACTGGCAACAGATCACAGACTGAAATGTCAAAACTAAAACTTAAACATGTACCCACACAAATACTGACACACAAGTGCTCATTGCCAACTTTATTCCTAATAGCCAAAAACTGGATCAAATGTTGAACAACCATTCAACAGGTGAATAAATAAAACAAACTACGGTACCTGCATGTAACAGAATACTGTTAAGATAAAAATTACCTTCATGTGCAATCTACATAGATTGAATCTCAAAAAAATTATGCTGAGCAAAAGTCCAGAAACAAAATGTCACATACTTTATGATTCCACTTCACTGAAACTCTAGAAAAGACCAGTCTAATCTGCAATGACTAGAAACAGATCAGTGGTTGCCCAGGACCAAAGAGTAGACTGACCAGAGAAGGGCACAAGAAAGCCATTTTGAGACTGTAAACGTATTCACATCTTGATAATAGTTGCTGTTATACAGGTGTATACATCTCTCAAAACCCATAACCAAGCAGTACTCTTTTATATTTTTAACAAGCAGTACTCTTACAACAGGTACATTTTATTGTATACACATTACGCCTCAATAAAGCTGATTCTTAAAAGAAATCTAATAGTCTGCCATATCTTCCCCACTCATAATTCCCACTCTCCTGGGGCAATTAAACTCTTTCACCTGTTTTTTTCTATCTAAGACTATATTCTGAAATATAGTCTACAGTGCTATTTCAGCATTTAGATATTTACTGTACTCTCCTATAGTTACGGTAATTTAGCTTTCTTATGCCACTACTATCTCCACGTAAACTTCCCCACACTGATTTCTCCTGCCCACATCCTCCCAATTTAAATAACAACATGGTTTTCTTATAATTATCACACTATTTTATTCAACTTTTGTTTTTCCTGCTGTTATCTACTTGTCTGAGGGTTTGAGTTTCTTTGTTTGCTTAGGTTTTTAATGTATCGATTCTGAATTTACTTCCAAATTATACTTGAGCTTCAAAACTTGTCTCAGTATAATCAAACACACCAGATAAGACTATCAGTTCCATTTTATTCTCTGATGTACCAATCCTTCCTGAAGCTCTCCACCCTCCAGCTCTAAGCTCTGCCCAAAGCACAGCAGTCACCCTGCTGAGTCCCTTATTCACCATCCGGAGAGCGCCCTTCCTTTCTCTCTCTAGTGACAGATCCCCTATTGCCAAAAGCCCTTCTCTTCCTATTTTTGTGCTGAAGCATATTTTCCGATAGCAATCTGAGAAAATGACTAAATTTACTCTCAGATTTGATTCATAAATTGGCCGAATAGATCATTCTTTCTAAGCCATTGCTCCACTCTCTTCCAGTTTCCAAAATTGTGACTGAGGAATCTGAGGTGCCATTATGTACGATCCCATCTTTTGAGTGGGGCCTTTTTTTTCTCCCTAAACTTTTAGGATCACTATTATTATTATTTTTTTTTTTTCGAGAATGAGTGTGCATGTGTGTAGGGGGTACGGGTAGAGAGAGACAGGAAGAGGGGAAGGGGGGAGAGGGAGGGATGGAGGGGGATGGAGGGAGATGGAGAGAGAGAGAAAGAAAGAGAGAGAGAGAAAGAGAGAGAGAGACAGTCTTAAGCAGACTCTATGTCCAGCACAGAGCCCAACACAGGCTTGATCTCACAACTGTGAGATCATGATCTGAGCCAAAATCAAGAGTTGGACACTTAACTGACTGAGCCACCCAAGTGCCCCTAGGATCTGTTTATTTTTCTAAAATTTCAGTAGAAGTCTCTCTTTTTGTTTTTTTGTTTGTTTGTTTGTTGCTCACTGTTGTTCTATGCCTGACAGGTCCTCTCAATCTGTAAACTCACATTCTTTAGTCTCAGCCAATTTTCTTAAATTGTTTCTTTGATTTCTTCTCCTCCTTTTTCCTCTATCTAATCACCTGTTAGATGTTCTTGACTGATCTTATTTTCTTGTTTTCTCAATCTCTTTGTTCTACTGAGAGATTTGCTCAATTGTATCTTCCAACTCTTCTACTGAATTTTAAAATTCTATCACACTTTTTATTTCCAAAAGCTCCTTCGTATGCTATAAATGTTCCTTTTCAGAACTTATTTTTCTCACTTTATGAGTTCCATTTTTTGTCACTCCAATGATGTTAATGCTTTTGTTTTTTTCTCCTCCCTGTATTGTTTCTGTATTCTCTGAATTCCTTTCTTCCATCTGTTTTATTCTCTAATGTGAGAAACTTTCCTGAAATGCCTGGTGATCTTTGTTCTTCACATAAGAGGGAAACAAATGATAATTAAAGGCTATCAGTAAACAAGCAGGACTTGAACTGAGCCTCATCTTAGTTAGGGAGCACAGGTGACACCCAGTGGTGTTTCACTGAGGAACAGTGTAGAAGACTCTTTTGTCTTGGGCCAGTCTCTTCAAAGAGAAGTCATCCACTCTCCTGCTTCTTAAATACACACCTGGCTGTCAGAATTCTGAGAGCTCACAAGAAAGCAGTCTTAATATATTCAGAACATTTTTCACTTAATTCCCTCCACCTTAGCCACTTTTTTTGTTTTCCCTCAGCCATACCTGGTGTTCCCCAAATCCAGATCTTCCCTAATTCATCCCTCCAAAAGGTAAACTTTACTGTTCTGCTGGGGAAGGGAGGGCAGCAGCTAGGATGCCAAAGCTAGAGAACTGAGGATCTAGGAGTTAAGAGCACCTCTTAAAATTTTCAAATAATCCCTTTCCAATTTCATTATACCCCTGCCTTCAGAGGTAAACAATGTCTCTAATTCTTGAAATGCTCAGGTATCCTGCCATTCATATCACCTTGCCCCTTGTTAGCTTCTTTCACCACCAGCTTAAATTTCAACTTTCTCTGTGTGTTAAGCCAGTATCGATAATGTTTAATAGGAGCCTATACAGGCATTGGCTTGTAAAAATACCGGATATTGTGGTGTGCTCTAAAGGGTTAACTCACCAGGTCTGAGTTGTCCAAACCCTGTACATCCTAAAGAAAGATATGTCCTGTGCCAGACTCCTGGAAAATAACTGCTAAAATTTTATTATCCTGTCTGTCAAGAATATCTTCATTTAAATGAAGCTTTGGGCCATGTCAGTTCATGTTCACAACGTGATTTATGGTGGCAGCCTTGGGCCACATGGTATCAGCCTGACCTTTGGAGGACTTGGGAGAACTAAGTTCAGCCATGCCTAAAGAATGAATCTCAAATAAAAACCCTGGACACCAAGGCTCAGGTGAACTTCCCTTGTTGGTGATATTTCATACACAGCATCACACAACACTGCTGGAAGAACTAAGCGGTGTCCGCCGGAAAAGGACAACTAGTAACTTGCATCTGATGTCTCCTGGACTCTGTCCTATAAGCTTTTTCTATTACTAATTTTAATCTGTTGCCTACTGCTGCAATAAACCAAAATCATGAATATAACAGCTTTGCTGAGTTCTGGGAGTACTTCTAGCAATCATTGAGGCTGTAGGTGGTCTTGGGAGTCTTCTAAACACACACTGTTATTTGAATTATTACATACATAAGAAAATATTTCAATAAATTCTAATGACATCTAAAAAAAAAAGTCAGGCATCTCAAAAAACAAACAACAACTAAAACCCCACAACAACCTGTCAACATTTCCCCCATACAGTCTAAATCCTTTAGCAGCCAGTGCATAAAACAGACTCCAGGATCCAGAGTACAGTTCTATTTCACAATTCCATCAAGGTCAAGTTCTTACACTAATTCATAAGGTCAAGCTTAAAGAATCTACTAAATCTTCCATGTTCATTATTAGAATATATTTGAATACATATCTGACTATTTGAACTAAACTTACTGTCTTATTTTATGATAAACAATCCCTTTGAAATATTGTTGATGCTGTTACAACCTGACAAAATCTTTTTTTTCACAGGCACTGCAACTGCAAACTCTACCAAGAATTAGCAGGAGTTCTAATTGACAAAATTTAACTGTAATATTCACCAGACTTTCCCCTCTCTGTTATTGTCTTTATCTCCAAGTAATTCCTAGAATAACAAATTGAAAGACTTCTGAGATTAAACAATTTAAAGAATTCTGAGGTCAACCGCTTCCCATTCCTCAATCCATTGAGACTGTTTGGAAGGAATCTGCAGTGTGGTTGAGGGGTTTCATGACCCATTCCTTAAAAGATGGCAGATATAATGTTAACTTTTCAGGAGCATGTTTATGAGGAGATTTGCATAGTATCTAGCAGAGTCCCTTGTAAGTAAACCCTTAAGAAATTTCCTATTCAATGATGAATTATTTACAGATCTAGTCTACATTATTTATAAAATGCTGACTATCAAAAGATCTCTCAATACAGAATGGTATAACAATCCAAACATTATATCAAAATTTTAAGTGTCCAATAATATTACAATCCATATTAAGAAAGAGTGAGTTCTAGCCTTTACTGCCAACTTGGAATCTGAACTACGACCATGACCCAAAAACAAACAAGAAAAAGTATGACACGATAGATGATACAAATGTTCATATATATTAAAATCCAGTCAAATGCCATAACCATTCCATATCATAAATCTCAGCTTATTACCTCTTTAATTTTTTCCCTTTTCTTTCTTATGTCATTATCTTCTGGGTCTCCACCATCTATTCCTATTAGATTTGGTATAGGGACTGGTGGCAGTGGCTTCTTCTCTTTTGTCTTCATTTCTTGGACTACCTTATTTTTCTCTGTCTGAATTTCTGCTCTGATTTCCTCTCTCGACTTTTTTAATTTTTCTTTTGCTTCTTCCAGGGCCTTCTCGTGATCAGCTCGAATTTTATTTCTCAAACGTTCTTCTTCTTCCCTGTGAGAAGAAAAAAAGACTAGTTAAGAATAACCCTTAATTACTTCAATATAAAATTTAAACTTTCTACCAAACCCTGGTAGATGTTTTCTACTCCTACCATTAAAAGGTAAGGATGATCTGTGAGAGACCCAGCTCTATCTGCCCCTACAGGATACATGTAACTTGGTATAAGCCCTGGGTGCTAAACAGTAAACACTCTACAAACCTGGAGAAGAGGGAACCTAGAAAGAAAGTTACAATTGCAGGACCAAAAGAGCAATCGGTAACTTGTCAGGAGACACATGAAAAAGGAAAAGTGGGAGAAGGAGAGAAGGGAGGGGGAGAGGGGCAGAGAGACAAACCAGAGAGAAAACTAGATGGGGGAGAGAAAACTAGTAACAGAATTAAGTATGAAGAGGGGACAAAAATATAAATATGGGGTCAAGGAAAGAGATAAGTGGAAAAGATAAGAGCTCAGGAAATTTTTCATTTGTTACATAGTACAAGACACGCTTCTAAAACTTTCACATTTTGGAAATACCATAGCTCTTAAAACACAATTCCCAACTGATGTGGGCAGAATGCTTAAAACTCCCTTGAGCCCTCGTTAAAAATACAGATTCCAATTCGGTAGGTCTGTATGAAACCCATGAATGTGTATTATTAAGAAATCCTCTGAGGAATTCTGGTATGCACACAGATTTGGAAACCACTACCGCAGGGGACGCCTACAGGGTCTTTCACCCAGCCCTAGTTTTGTGAGAGCTCGATCTTCTCTCCACACATCTGCCCCAATCCACACGAATGAATACAAGAGTGGTAGTTACTATTTTCCAAATCAGCCAATGATGACTCCTCTAAGGGTAAATATCTAGCTCCACAGTCAGCAGAGTCCCCTCTCCAGAAATTTAATTCATACTCTGCACGCAGCTGGATCCACAACATTGCTGGTGGGAATATAAAATGGTACAGCCACTCTGGAAAAGGTTAGTGATTTCTTAAGAAACTAAACACACAACTATCACAAAATTCGGCAACTGCACTGGACATTTATCCTGGAGAAGCGAAGGCTTATGTTGACACAAAAACCTATACACAGCCCATGGCAGAAAGACAAGAACTGTATGATTCCACCCATATGAGACACTCAGAGTAGTCAAAATCCTAGAAAGGAGAACGGTGGCTGCCAAAGGATGGGGGAAAGGGAAATGGGAAGTTCCTGGTTAATGGGTAGAGCTGCAGCTCCTACAAGATGAAAGAGTTCTGGAGATGGCGGCTCAACAATCTGACAGCATTTACTACCACTGCACCGTATGCTTAAAAATAGCTAACGTGACAGATGTTACATGTATTTTACCACAATTTAATAGGCAAAAACTGGAAACAACCCAGGTGTCCTCCAACAAGTAAATAAACAAACCACTGTTTCTACTTGGTATAGCCACAATATGGAATACTACTTGCAATAAAAAGAAATAAACAATTCATCTACACTTGAATGAATTTCAAAGGTATTACTATGTGAGTGAAAGAAGCCAGTCTCAAAAGGTTACATTCTAGATTTTTTTTTTTTTAACGTGACATTCTCAAAAAGACAAAAATGTAAGGATGGTGAATAAATCAGTGGTTGCCAGGAGTTACGGATGGGGGAAGGGTTGGCTATAAAGGAATAACACGAGAGTTTTTTGGGATGATAGCATTGTTACATATCCCAATTATAGTGACTATGGGAATATGTACGTGTGTTTAAAAATCACAGAAGTGTACATCGAGAAAAATATCAATTTACAGTCTAATATTAAAAATTAAATTGTTAAATGTTTAGAGAAAAAAACTGGATTGCTAGCAGTAAGAAGGGGTGATGAGGAAAACATGAGAGAGAAAAGAGGGGAGAGAGCAACAAAGACAGTCAGGGCAACACAAGGGAACTTGAGGGCAGGGAGAAAGCAGCCATGGGGCCTGCAGACAGACTGGAGGTGAGAAGAATGCAGCAGGGGGGAGAAAAACAGAGTCTCAGATAACAAGGCAGACACAGGCAAGCACCGCCCAACAGCCTTCCAGTCCCCCTCCCTCCCCTTACGACACAGAAACCCTGTGCCTAGCCCCAGAGAAGAGATGTGTCTATGCCAACCAAGTCTTTCTCACACGCCCCTGTAGCTAGGGGTGGTCGCAGAACCTTATTCCAACTACAGAGACAAAAGAGGACTACTGGGAAATATTTTCCTTTTGGGATTAAAAAACGGACAGAACGATTTGAGAAAAGAGCCTGTTAGCTACTAAGACCAAATCTACCTGAACACAGATTCCAGTCTCCAAATGTGGCTGTGACGCCTAAAGCTATGATAGTCAAAACGCAGGAAGCCTGGGGACAAACGGCCAACACGGCTGAGAAAAGACAACAAAGAGGTAAAGTGCCTACTGATATCACTGGGTTGCTGCCAGGGCCTTTACCGGTCAGTCCCATAATTTCAGACAGGGGGGTTGAAACAGTGGGGTGTTCTTTCACTTCCATCTAAGAATTTTTCCAAGTCACTCATTCAGTGAGCAGACAGGTACATGGTCAGGAAGGCAAAGGCCTAGGACTAAGCACCAACGAAGAAGCACATCAAACAGAGACGACCAGTTCTTTCAAGGGCAGTTTCTGTCCTGATGACAAGTGGGAGAGTCTCTATAGGGAACTACACTTTCCGCCTCTAGCTCCAAGCACCATGTCACCACTGAATGGCACACGGAAGCCCCCACCATGTTTGCAGTGGCTCATCTGTGCCATCACTGCGGAAAGCATCTTCGCCCACCAGTACACCTCCACAAAGTTGGGTATTACATGCCACTTTCTAGAGCCTATCCTGGGAGCAAGGGAGAAATACGGGCCACAATACATTCTATGTCCCTCTCCAAAGCTTCACAATGCACAGGGGTATTTTAAAGACTCTGAGAAGTCCCGCAATAAAAGTGCCTAACACCTCCTAACTTTATTTAGTCACAGTCCCCATTTTCTTCACACACCACTTTTAGCATGCCATGAAACACGCCGCCACAGAAGATAGCCCTCCAACTATGCCATCAACCACACAAGCCCTTGGGAGAACCCTGCCACTTTTTTGCTGTGTGGCATTAGATGGATGTCACCTCTCTGAGCCTCCTTTTCCCCACCAACCTCCCAAGACTGTTGTCAGGAGTAGATGAGATGACACAGGAGTCTAAGAGTATAGAAAAGTCTTTATCAACTCAGTTTTCTTTCTTCCCTTACTACC